TCTGACAGCCTCTTCTGTCCTCTGTGGGCATTGCACAACACAGGTGCACTTACCTACATGCAGGCAATACAGTCATACACATAAAACAAAAATAATAAAAAAATTTTTAAAGTTAAAAAATTTTTTTCTTATTCTTATTTATATGTCTGAGTGTTCTTCCTGCATGTATATAGGTGTAACCATGTCATGCAATGCCTGTGGAGGCCAGAAAACGGTGTTGGATGACCTGGAACTGGATAAGGACAGCTATTAGTTGCCGTGTGAGGGCTGGGAACCAAAGCAAGGTCCTCTGCAAGAGCAGCCAGTGCTCTTAACTGCTGAGTCACCTCTCCAGCCCCCTTTAAAAAAAAAAAACTTATTTTGTTTTGGTCTTTTTAAGACAGGGTCTCCTTGTAACCCCCGCTGGCCTGCAAACCACTATGTAGACCAGACTAGCCTTAAACTCACAAAGATCTGCCAGCTTCTGCCTCCTCTGTGCTGGGATTAAAGGCATGTGCTGCCATGCCGGCTATAAAAATCTTTAAAAAAGAAAACAAATGAGAAAAAGACTGTGAGGAAATTGCCAAGGATGGTGGTATAGGTCTGTAATCCCAGTACTCTGGAGGCAGAGAAAGGAAATCAAAAGTTTGAGGCCAGACTGCACTACAGGAGATTTTTGTGTCAACAAAACAAAAGGCAAAGAAAGACAGACTAGAAAAGAGGGAAAAGAAAAAAGAAATCTAATACTACAATGAATAGAAAAATGACATGGATTAATTGTACAAACATAATGCAAGCCAAAAACAAAAAACAAATACCCCCAAAACCCAACCAACCTTATACAGTAGATGGTGATTAACATAGAAACACACAACTGGCCAACAGAGAATAAGAGGCTACAGAATGCTTATCACTAATTAGAAACCTGTACCAACTTTGCCTCTCAAGGCTCAGGGATCTTTGCAGAAGAAGGGGTGGAAAGACTGTAAGAGTGGCCAGTTGGGGAGGCACAAGCCTTTTATTGGGAGACACAGGCAGGTGGACCTCTGTGAGTTCGAAGCCAGCCTGGTCTACATAGTAAGTTCCAGGCCAGCGCTGGGGGTACAGGGAGACCACGTCTCAAAAAGCCCCCTGCCAAAAAAAAAAGAAAGATTGTAAGAGCCAGGCAGCTGGGCAGTTGGTCAAATGAAATCACAGCAATGGTTCAGCATGCACCAGACCCACATGGGCTCAAGCCAGACAAAATCCCAGCATGGATGTGGGGAAGTGGGTCAGAAACCCCAACCCTACCTGAGGAAGTATTGGCAACTGATGGCTGCTAGGAGGAGAGTCCTTCTCTTTTTTCGTTCTGGTCTTTGGAGACAAGGTCTCCCTGTAGCTGCAGCTGGCCTGGATTCGCTAATGGAGACCAGGCTGGCCTGGAACTCACAGAGATCCGCCTGCATCTGCCTCTCGAGTGCTGGGATTAAAGGTGTGCGCCACCAGGCCCAGCTGAGTCAGTCTCTTTTTAAAAGTCAGACTCTTGATATGTTAACCAGGTTCTGGAGGATAGACCCATACTGAAGAGCATTTGGGGACACAAATTTCATTCTATAGGCCTTAATATATATAATATTAATAATGTATATGAAATTTAGTGGGGAATAATAAGGGGCAGAAGCAGATACGGGAAAGGATCTAAAGACCATCAAAATATATTGTATAAAATCCTCAAAAACTCAGGGGTGCAGAGATGGCTCAGTGGTTGAGAGCACTGGTTGTTTTTGCAGAAGACCCACGTTCGAATCCCAACACCCACATGGCAGTTAACAACCATCCATAACTCCAGTTCCAGGGAATCCAACACCCTCTTCTGTCCTCTGTGGGTATTGCATGACATGGGTGCACTTACACACATGCAGGCAATACACTCATACACATAAAATAAAAAATAATGCCGGGTGTGGTGGTGTACTCCCAGCACTTGGGACGCAGAGGCAGGGGGATCTCTGTGAGTTCAAGGCTAGCCTGGTCTACATAGTGAGTTCCAGGCCATCTGGGACTACAGGGAGACCCTGTCTCAAAAAAACCAAAAATAAATAAATAATAAATGTTTTAAAAATCCTCAAAAACTCAATTAAAAAAGGAACAACAATAACCAATCAACCAAAGACAGATCAAGACACATAAAAATAGACACTTTATGATTCTGTTCATATAAAGTTGAAAATGCTTACAATAAACAACCAACCAAGAAGTACAAAAAGCAGAAGAGTGACAGGGTCCTTTAGAGAGCAGGCAAGGACAACATCCAGTCCTCTAGGGGCTGGTGATGCTCTAGTTTTGGATCTGTTTGTTTTGAGACAGGGTCTCCCTATAGTCCCAGCTGACCTGGAACTTGCTATGCAGACCAGGCCAGCCTGGATCTCACAAGATCCACTCCCACTTCACCACCAAGCCTGGTCTCTAGTTTTGGATCTGAATGTTTTTATTTATTTACTTTTCTGAGGCCTGGAACTCACTGTGTAACCCAGGCTGGCCCAGAATTCCCACTCCTCCTGGTTCCGCCTGTGAGTGCTGGGATTACAGGTGTGCACCACTGTATCCAGCTATATCTGAGTATTTATTATAAGGATAGCGACTTTATATTTATTATACTGTAAAATTCTATTTTATATACTTTTTGATACACAGAGAGACCCAGTCTAAAAAACAGTGCTAATAAACACAGGAGTAGGGCTTGGTGTGCTCTGTGACTAAAAATAGGGAATGAAGGAACGGACCAATAAAGGAAGGCCTTGCATGGCCCACAATAGCAAAGCCTGAGGGATATGCAACCCAGCTCTACCCAATGAAAGCAAGCGATGGGTAGGTACCTTCTGTGGTTTGGGTTTCCTTTCATACTTACCTCCTTGCTGTCTGTCACTGGAACCCACTTAAATATCCTAAGGGATGTATCACCCACAGTCACCCATTTTTTCTCCCTAGAAGACAGGAATTTCTTAGAATTAATAAAGCACACTTGGTTGTTTATTTAACTTGAGCTTTTCACTTTTCTGTTTCTCAGCAGATCATTCCTTCAATCCATAATGCCTTCTAGATTTTTCTGTCAGATTATACCTGAAGGTGGATCTGGGGAACAGGAAGTGAAAGCTGAGTGTGGTGGTACATGCCTGTAATCCCAGCACTTGAGTGGCTGTGGCCAGAGGACTGCCATAAATTTGAGGTAAGCCTGGGCTACCGAATGAGCCTGGTTTCTGCAAGAAAAAATTAAAAATGAAAAAAAGAAGGATTTGCTGGGAGTGGTGGTGCACTATCTTTAATCCCAGCACTTGGGAGGCAGAGGCAGGCGGATTGCTAGGCCAGACTGATCTACATAGTGAGTTCCAGGCCAGCTGGTGCTACAGTGAGCCCCTTTTTTAAAAAAAAAAAAAAAAAAAAAAAGAAGGCTTTGAAGGGCAGCAAGTGGCTCAGTCCTAAAGGGCTTACTTAGTCCTAGCACTGTAAAAACAAGCAAACAAAAGGTTGTGATAATGGGAAATAAAGACCAAGTCTCTTTAGTCTGGTCTTTGACTATGCCCCTTGTTCCTCTTTCATTTAAGGGTCCCTCCAGGGGATGAACATTCACAAGAAAGGCACAGGTACCCTTTCCTTACTGGGTAATGGAGACAACTTAAAAGAGGAAGCCTTTGCTAAAGAAATGTTTTAATTTCAGTCTTGAAGTACAAAGACTGGTGGTTATTGTTGTCTAGACTGGGAGTGCAGCACAGTGAGAGAACACTGCCCAGCCAAGGCCCAGGACATGAAGCCAACCCCAGAATATCAAAGCAAACTGACCCCCACCATAGTGTGTTCTGATGAGGTAGAAGTGGTGGAATTACCACCATACTTGAAAGCAAACAAAGGCAGGAGGAGGTCACTCTAAGTTAAACTATTCAAGCCTCATACATCTCTCTGAACCCCACTACCCAGCTCACCATTCAGCCTGCACCATATCTCCTTTTTGGGGTGGTGGGGGTGGCACTGGGGCTGGAACCCAGGGCCTTGGCCATGCCAGGCAAGGGCTCTACAACCAACCTGCATTCCTACCTGCTCAAATGCTTGTTTTTTGTGTTTTTGGTTTTATTTTGAGGCAAGGTCTCCTTACATTGCCCAGACAGCCCTTGAACTTACAGTCTACCTGCCTTAGCTTCCTGAGTGGCTGGGATCATAGGCCTATGGTGTTAAGAACTGAACCCTGGGCTCTACCATTGAGATACATTTTTTTTTTTTTTTTTCGGCCTATGTGGAGGCCCAAAGTTGATGTCAGGTATCTTCCTTGGTAACTCTCTAGTCTAGTCTTATTTATTGAGACAGGATCTCTTGCTGAGCCCAGAGCTCGCCCACCAATTCTGGCTAGTCTACCCAGGCTGACTGTCCTGGGCATCATGTCTCTGCCTCTCCCAATCAATGGAATTACAAGCAGTGGCTACCACACCTGCCAGGCTTGTTAGATGGGTGTTGGGGACAAGAGCTGTGGTCCTCTGGCTTGCCACTAAGCCATCTCCCCAATCTAAACTTTTAAAAAAATACAATTTATTTTTATTGTTTTTAATTACATGCGTGTCTGAGTATGTGCACATGAGTGCAAGTGCCTGCTAAGGCCAGAGGTCTTGCATCCCCCTGAACTAGAGTTACAGGCACTGTAACCTGGAACCAAACTCAGGTCCTCTGGACAAGCAGGCAGTACATGCTTTATGCTTTTAACTGCTGAGCCATTTCTTCAGTCCCCACCTTTTTAAAAAATCTTTTTCAGACAGGGTCTTTCTGCAGCCCCAGCTGGCCTGGAACTCCCTATGTAAACTAGGCTGGCCTTGAACTCACAAAGATCTGCCTGCCTCTCTGCCTCTGCCTCTCAAGTGCTGGGATTAAAGGTACCTTTTTTTTTTTAATTTTATTTTTATTTTATGTGTATGAGTGTATTGCCTTCATGTATGAGTGCACCTGTGTCGTGCAATGCCGAGGAGGTCAGAAGAGGGCTTCGGATTCCCCTGGAACTGGAGTTAAGGACAGTTCGTAGCCGCCATGTGGAAGCTGGGAATCGAACCTGGGTCCTCTGCAAGAGCTCAGCCATCTCTCCAGCCCAAGGTACCTTTTTTTTTTTTTTTTTTCTTTTTGAGACAGGGTCTCCCTGTAGCCCCAGCTGTCCTGGAACTCACTATGTAGACCAGGCTGGCCTCGAAATCACAAAGATCCACCTGCCTCTGCCTCCCAAGTGCTGGGATTAAAGGTGTGCGCCACCACGCTTGGCATTACCATTTTTTTTTTTTTAAGGGAGGTATTTCACTATGTTGCTTAGACCCCAAAACATTACGCTAAGTAATCTTCCTCACTCAGGAGCTGGGGAACTAGAGCTGAGTTTTGTGGAGCTGTTACGACTTTTAATAAGTTAAAAAGCCAAACATGGGGTTGGAGAGATGGCTTAGTGGTTAAGAACACTGACTGTTCTTGCAGAAGACCCAGGTTCGAATCCTAGCACCCACATGGCTGCTAACAACTGTCCATAACTCATTCCAGGGGATCCGACAGCCTCTTCTGTCCTCTGTGGGCATTGCACAACACAGGTGCACTTACTTACATACAGGCATAACACTCACACACATGAAATAAAATTAAATATTTTTTTTTTAAATGTCAAACATAAGCCAGGCATGGTGGCACACACCTTTAATCCCAGCACTCAGAGAGAGGGGGAAGAGGCAGGTGGGTCTTTGTGAGATTGAGGTCAGCTGAGGCCAGCTGTGGCTACAGGGAGATCCTATTTCAAAAATACCCGCCCCCCAAAAATTAGTTAATTTTAAAGAAGTCAAACATAGGGGCTGGAGAGATGGCAGTTAAGAGCACTGGCTGCTCTTGCAGAAGACCCATGTTCAGTTCCCAGCAGTTTTGGCCTCCATGGGCATTGCATGACACAAGTGCACTTACATACATGCAGGCAAAAATATTCATATACATAAAAATAAATAAATCAGGGCTGAAGAGATGGCTCAGTGGAAGAGCACTGGGTACTCTCGCAGAGGACCCAGGTTTGATTCCCAGCACCCACACAGCAGCTCACAACCATCCCTAACTCCAGTTCCAGGAGATCTGATGCCCTCTTATGGCCTCTATAGTCATTGCATGACACAGGTGCACATACATGAGTGTAGGCAATACATTCATACACATAAAAAAATGTAAATTTCTAAGTCAAACATAGGGCTGAGGTATATAGTTCAATAGTAGAGAACTTATCTAGCATAAACAGGGCCTGGGTTCTCTCTCCATGAATGCAACAACTACTAAAAAGAAATTCAAATATAGGAAATGTCCTGCAGTTCAACCTAATACAATTATGGAAAGTTCTATGAAAGGGACCTGACCTAGGATCTAAAATTGTAGTCCTGAAGAATCAACTTTAAAAATATATTTTTTATTATTTGTCTTTTTGAAACAGGGTCTCCCTGTAGCCCCAGCTGGCCTGGAACTATGTAGACCAGGCTGGCCTTGAACTCACAGAGATCTGCCTGCTTCTGTCTCCCAAGTGCTGGGACTACCAGTGTGCACCACCATGCCCAGCCATATATTATTATTTTTATTTTATGTGTATGAGTGTATTGCTTGCATGTACAGAGGTGCACCTGTGTCGTCCAGTGCCCAAGGAGGTCAGAAGAGGACATCAGATCCCCTAACTGCAGTTACAGACAGTTCCTAGCTGCCACTGTGGGTGCTGGGAATTGAACCTGGGTCCTCTGCAAGAGCAGCCATCGTCTTAACCGCTGAGCTCTCTCTCCAGCTCCATCACCAACTTAAAAACTTATTTTAAATATATGTGTGTCCTCCTGTGAGTTTCTACATTTTGTATGCAAGTGCTCACAGAGGCCAGAAGAGGGCATTGCATCAGATGCCCTGTAACTGTTAACAGGCAGCTCTGCACTGCCTGACTTGGAGACTGGGAACTGAACTAGGGTCCTCTGAAAGAGCTGTGATCTCCACCCCAGAACCAACTTCTGAGAGTTAACCAGGCATGGAGGAAGAAACCTGCTCCACAATTACCCTACTAGTAAAATATTATGGGGTGACAAAAGGGAAAACAACAACAGGGGCCACTTAAGTATTACTTTGGGAGCAGAGGCGTGCCAGAAGATGTGCACTTAAAAAGGATCACTGGTGGGGGTGAAGGGATGGCTCAGCAGTTAAAAGCACTGGCTACTCCTGCAGAGGACCCAGGTTCAGTAGCCAGCACCCACATGGCACCTAACAACCATCTATAACTCCGATACCAGGGGATCTGACATCCTCTTCTGGCCTCTGCAGGCATTGCAGGATATGGGTGCAGCCACACGCAGGCAAAACACTCATACACATGAAATATAAATAAATGAATAAAAGAAATTTTTAAAAAATCACTGGCAGCATGCTAGCCACTGGGGAAACTTTAGTAGATTAAGTGCAAGTTTGTCATCAGCCGGGGCTGCATACCAGTAAAAGATCTGGTCTTAATAGTAAAAAAAAAAAAAAAAAAAAAAAAAAAAAAAACTTTTTAAAAAGGGCTGGAGAGATGGATCAGCGGTTCAGAGTATTGACTGCTCTTGCAGAGGACCTGGGTTCGATTCCCAGCACCCACATGGCGGCTACGAATGGCCCTTAACTCCAGTTGCCAGGGTAATCCGAAGCCCTCTTCTGACCTCTGCGGCACTGCAAGACGCGGGTGCACTGACATACACGCAGGCAATACACTCGTACACATAAAATAAAAATAATAAATAAAATGTTGGGGCCGGGCGTAGTGGCGCACGCCTTTAATCCCAGCACTAGGGAGGCAGAGGCAGGAGGATCTCTGAATTCAAGCCCAGCCTGGTCTACATAGTGAGCTCCAGGACAGCTGGGGCTACAAAGAGACCCTGTTTCAAAAAAACCAAAAAAAAAAAAAAAAAGTTTTAAAAATTATATATAAAAAAAAAACAAAGCACAAAGGAGCTGTAGTAATAGCTCAATGGTTAAGAGACTAGCTGCTCAATTACGAGGACCAGAGTTCAAATCCCAGCATCTATATCAGGCGGCTGACAAATGCGCGTTATCTTTAAGGAATCTGACGCCCTCTTCTGATCTCTACAGGCACCCACAGACTTGCATGCATACACACATAAGACACATGCACACACACATAAAGTATTAAAAAAGTAACGAAATGATTACGCTTTAGGTGGGGGGGGGGGGAGAAGCGAATCAAGGAGTTGGTTGAGAAAAGTTTTAACGCGATGAGATCCTGACCCAAACTGGTTGCTCAATTTGGGTTTGCAATGAACGTGGCAGGGACGGTCGTCAGGGCGCCAAGAACAAAGGCCTCCCAAGTGCTCTAGATGAAGATCACGGATCTGGGGAGATCAAGGGTATCGGTTGCGGCAATCCAACGGCCGGGTTTACACAGAAAATCCCACCTAACTTGAACCACTTAACACGCAGACCACTCGGAAAAGCTGCAGCCATCTCCGCGCAGTTGTGAGGCAATAGGGAGGAAGCCGCCCATAGCGCCTGCGCAAGGCACTGTGACAGACAGGAAGGCCAGCTAAATACCGTCAGGCCCCGCCCACGCAGGGCTGCCGGAAGTCGGCATACCCCTCCAGGAGACCCGTAATAGAGCTAGTGGGCGGGGCCTCGAGCCTAGCGGACTTCCTATTGGCTAGAGCAGGAGCAGTCTTTGCCCTCACGCCAACTACAGGGCGCCCTTCTCCGGCTTTTTTCCCCCGGCCCCCTCCCCCCAACGCCGTCTCTTGGTTCCCACCCTGCCAGTCTGTGTTGTGGCGTTCCTTCGCTCCGGGTTCCCCGCGACCCTACTCCGGCACCCCCGCCGACTCCGCCCCTCACCATTTCCGCACTTTCTCGATGGCAGCCATCACCTTCTTGATGTCATCCTTGGCCCGGCTCCGGGTCTCGGCCCGGACCGAACGGCCCGACATGGCGGCGGCGGGAAGTAGTGGGGGTCCGGGAGGTTGCTCCCAAGACGCGGGATATCACGCACCTCACGCGCCGCCGCCTGTCGGCCGCCGCCTAAGCGTCACAGCGCCTGTAGTCCCCCCACACCCAACACACACACACACCCCCGTGCGCGCGTGCGAGAGCGCGCGCACCCGCCCGCCCCTTGAGACCTTGAGGTCTCAGTGCGCCTGCGCACGTCGCCCCGGGCGTCCTTGCCTCGCGCCCCGGGAGGCCCCTGGTCCTCTTTAAGGCCCTGGTGAACACTTGTGGCTGCACGTGTTATGTGCCAGTCGAGGCCGCTAAAGGTGGTGGTGGATGGGATTTCTCCGTAACCGCAGCTGCCCTGGAACTCACTATATAGACCAAGCTGGCGATGAACTCAAGAGATCCGCCCGCCTCTGCTTCCTGAGTGCTACTTGTGCCACCATGCCTGGCTGGATTGTTTTTTGCGTATATGTTGTGTGTAGGTCAGACATTGGTTTTCTCCTCCACTTTATGGATTTCAGGGATCGAAGACAGGTCATTAGGCTTGGCAGCAAGCATCATAACCCACTGAGCCATTTCTCTAGCCAGGCCCTTCAATGAATTTTTTTTTTGTCTTTTTGAGACGGTATCCTCATATCCCCAGCTGGCCTGGAACTTACTGTGTAGATCAGGCTGGCCTCTAACTCACAAAGATCCGCCTGCCTCTGCCTCCCAAGTGCTGGGATTAAAGGCGTGTGCCACCACACCCGGGATTTCAATGAATATTTTATACATTGAATATTCATGGGACCAAGTCTGCAACATCTTCCATCCAGAGCATCTTTGCTCCCATCTAATGCTGTGCCCCAACCAGAGTGGCTTTCATACTTCATCCTGGCTTCCTCCCTTTGCATACGCCTTTTTCCCATCTGGAAATTTTTCTCCTGATGAACCAACTACTTTTCTAGTGTCCCATTGACACTCCAGCATTCCCCAGATTCCTAAGGTTCTGTCTTGCTTAGCACTCTCCTTCATTGTCATGAAAGTCATCAATTTTGGATGCCTATTTTTTTGTGCACTGGACTCTTTCAAAGGACTTCCCAGCCAGGATCAATAGCCTATGCCTTTTGTCTCACCCTTTGAGAGGCAGGGTCAGGCAGATCTTTGTGAAGCTTGAGGCCAGCCTGGTCTACTGAGCAAGTTCCAGGCCACTGGGGAGGCTACAGGGAGACCCTGAGGGGCGGGGGTTGTCCTTCTGTGTGCCCCAGATAAACGAGTAGCTAACCCTGAACTTGATGGGCCTCTGATAAGCCTATCAACTTGATAGACCAACACCATGGATGGAAAGACAGATGTCCTCTTGCTGGTGAGGGATCCAGGAAAACTACTGCCTGACAGGTGGAATAGCCAAAGTAGCAAGAGGGAAAGGCTGATTCCAGAAATAATGAGAATTAAAGGTGACACATATACCAGGCCCAGCTGATAGAAAAAATAAGTGAACTTGGGCTGGCTAAGCACCTACTCTGCACCGGGGTGGAGGATGCAGGGTGAGAAAGCATGAGTAAGATGCCCTTGCTGCCTAGAGAATGGAACGGCAGGGCAGAGCTAAGTGTGGCCAGAGAGTCAGGCTCTTCAGGTCTGTTCATGGACCCCACCCTGCCCGGGTGCAAGTACACAGCACTACAGCTGACAGTTATGTCTAATTTACTCTCACCCTTGGTCCAAGTACTTACCAGCTGCAGCTCCCCTCTGCTCCCCCACCCTTTTTTGGGACAGGGTCTCACCACATAGCTTGAAACTACTCCATCATGGGCTTCATAGCAAGACCCATTCTCAAACAAGCAAACAGGTGGGTCTTGATGGTATACTTGTAATCCCAGCACTTGAACACAGAGTATCAGGAGTTCAAGGCCAGCTTTAGCTACTTTGGGAGTTCCAGGTTAGTCTGGGTTACATGAGACTCTGGTTTTTAAAATGGGAGGGAGGGGGCTGGAGAGATGGCCCAGCGATTAAGAGCACTGACTGCTTTTGCAGAGGACCTAGATTCGATTCCCAGCACCCACGTAGTGGCTAACCACCACCTGTAACTCCAGTTCCAGGGGACCCGATGCCTTCTTCTGACATCTTCGGGCATTTGGATGACACACAAGCAGGCAATACACTTACACACATTAAAAAAAAAATTTTTTTTAAATGGGAGAGAGATTGAGGACTGGGGGTGTGGTTCAGTGGTAGACTCCCTGCCTAGAATTCCCCAGTGGGGGTTGGGAGTGTGGCTCGGTGGAGCACCTGCCTACAATCTCCTAGTGAGGGGCTAGAGATGTGACTCCATTTAGAGGGCTTGACTAACAGGACTGTGACCCTGAGTTTTATCCCAAGTACCACACAACACACACATGATTGACTCCTAAACTTATAAAGGTTCCTACCATTAAGGGACTTACCTTGTGGGTGGCAGAGTCAAAAGCCCCATAGAGAAACACTAGAAGCAAGCTTGAGCTTGCCTCTATACCTCTGCAAGTCTCATTTCATCCATCATATGGCCATAGTAATTGCTATCCCAGAATACAAAGTAAAAGTGAGTTGGGTGGTGACACAAGTAGTCAGGAGAGTGAGGTAGGAAGATCTCAAGTTCTAAGCCAGCCTGAGCTATATAACGAAACAAAAAGGTATGTAAGGAGGCTATTTTTGTTGTGATGGTACTGGGGATAGAATCCAGGGCTTTGCGCCTGCCAGGCAAATGCTCTACCACCAACCTACATCCCCAGTGTTCAAAGAAGGCTGTTGTTGCTTACAGTATATGTTATTGATTTCAAAAAAAGGCACATTCATCGTAAAAAAAAAAAATGCAGATGATGTAAAACGAAAGTTTCCTCCAGGCATCTGTATAAATATTTGTTTACCCTGTTAACCAGCAAATAGGAAGTGCTAGGAGGGTGGCTCAGTGATAGCTCTGTTTAGCATATACAAAGGCTCTGGGTTCCATCCCCAGCACCACACACACACAGACACAAACATATACACACACACACACACACACACACACACACACACACAAACTGTGTGGGATGTGACAAGCCACTGTTGCAATGGTAGGATTATCTTGATCTCTGTGTTTAAAAGACTGGATACAATGAATATGGTGGCCCATGCTTTTAGTCCCAATACTCAGGAGACAGAACCAGGTGGATCTCTGTGAGTTCAGGGCCAGCCTGGTCTACACAGAGAGATCTAGGCCAGTCAGGAATACACAGTAAGACTCTTGTCTCAAAAATAAATGGGATGCATTCGGTATGGTGGCTTATGCCTATAACTCAAGCTCTCAAGAGGCAGAGGCAGAATTGCCTCAAATTCAATGCCAGCCTGGGCTACACAAGTTTTGAAGCGGCAGTTCACAAAATAGAAACTCATGTGAAAAGCCTGGCATGGTGACTCACACTCATACTTGGGAAGCTGAGGGAAGAGGCCAGCCTGGACTGCATAACAAGACCCTGTCTTAAAACACCAAAATTCTGCCAGGCATGGTGTCACATGCTTTTTAAATCTCAGCCTTCAGGAGGCACAGGTAGGCAGATCTGTTTGAGGCCATCCTGATCTATGTTGTGAGCTCCAGGCTAGCCAGGGCTGCATAGTAGAACCTTGCCTCAAAATACATTTTTAAAAGATGCAGATAGAGCTGGCCATGGTGGCACATGCCTTTCCAGCACTTGGGAGGCAGAGGCAGGCAGATCTTTGTGAGTTCGAGGTGAGGTAGCCTAGTCTACATAGTGAGTTCCAGGCCAACTGGGGCTATAGGGAGACCCTGTCTCTGAAAGACCAAAAAAAAAAAAGAAAAAGCAGATAGGAGGCTGGTGTGGTGGCACAAGCCTTTAATCCCAGCACTCAAAAGGCAGAGGCATGAGGATCTCTGTGAGTTCAAGGTCAGCCTGGTCTAAATAGTGAGTTCCAGGTCAGCTGGGGTTATAGGGAGACCCTGTCTGAAAAGACTCTCCCCCAAAAAAGATACAGATAGGGGCTAGAGAGATGGCTCAGTGGAAGAGCACTGGCTGCTCTTGCAGAGGACCCAGGTTTGATTCCCAGCACCTACAGGGCAGCTAATTGTAACTCCAGTTCCTGGGGAATCCAACATCCTCTTTTGACCTCCATGGGCATTACACAACATAGGTGCACTTGCAGGCAATACACATAAAATATTTTTAAAGATTTTTATGCCTATGTTTTTTTGCCTGAATGTATTCTGTGCCAGCAGAGGCCAGAAGAGGTTGTCAGATCTGCCTGCCTCTGCCTTCTAAGTGCTGGACTAAAGGTGTGCACCACCATGCCTGGCTCATATTTGGGTTTTTGGACAAGGGTCTCCTTAGTAGTCCTGGAACTTACTATGGAGATCACACAGGACTTAAACTTGTAGTGGTTCTCCTGCCTCTGCCTCCTCCTGAGTGCTATAATTATAGGTATGGGCCACTTATGCCTGGTTAGAACAATCTTTCACGATTTTATTACCTTGATAGAAATCACTAAGAACCAATCTGTGTACTCTTCTGGGTTTTTTCTCAATTTTTAATGACTGATAAAAGCTGTCATTATATACTGTCATTTTTCCTTTATTTATTGAGTCAGGGTCACACTATGTAGCTCTAGCTGGCCTCTTAACTCAGAGATATGCCTGGGATTAAAGGCATATGTCATCACGCCCAAGCAGTTAACTATTGTGTTCCATGGTAGGAGTGTGGAAATCAGGGATTAACTTTGTGGAGTTGGTTCTCCTTCCACTTTTATGTGGGTTCTATGGGTTGAACCCAAGGTGCCAGGCTTGTGCACCAAGTGCAGTTATCTGCTGAGCCATCTTATTGGCATCCCTCCTCCATGTTATCATTTAATATAGTTTCTCAAGTTTAGTCTTTGAGAATGTGGCCTCAAACTCGCTCCTCTCCAGCCTTGGCTTCCTGAGTGCTGACATTACCACACCTAGCTCCCCCAAACTTTTGAAATTAAAGAGTATTAAAAATTAAGACAATGCCTCTGTAGCTCAGACAGACCACAAATTCAAGGTCCTGCCAAAACTTCACCTGCCAAATGCTAGGGTTTACAAGTGTGCGCCACTACAACCTGAGCAGTATCAGCATATCAATCACTCACAAGGATCACAAAAACATGACCATCCCTGTTAATATCTAGACACTCTTCCTAGGGTGAGAGCAGCAGCATTTTATCCCTGGGAAGTCTGTGTAGTGACCTGTAATGCTTTCACTCATGAGGCTAGCCTAGTCTACATAGTGATTCCTTGTCTCAAAATAAAGGGGGGGGGGGGGGTACTGGAGAGATGGCTCAGAGGTTAAGAGTACTGATTGCTCTTCTAGAAGACCTGGGTTTGGTTCCCAGCACCTACATGACTAACTGTAACTCTAGTTCCAGGGGGCCTGATGACCTTGTTTGGATTTCACAAGCATTGTACTTCTTGAATATACTTACATACATGCAGGGAAAACACACAATTTTTTTAGAAAGTTCAGTGAGGAGCTGGGGACATGGCTCAGTAGTAGAACCCCTGTCTAGAATCCCCCAGTGAGGGGCTGGGGGCATCGCTCATTGGTGGAGTTCCTGCTTAACATATGTCAGCCCTGGGTTCAGTCTCCAATAACATGGACACAAAGAATTACCACGGTAAAGTGGGTAGGACAAGATTTATTCTCATTTTACAGATGAGGAAATAAACCTAGTCAACCTCAATGATCTCCCCACTCCAGGCCTCAGGTCAGTAAATGACTTGGCTGATATGGAACAGACTTCTGACTTCAGTGGCTCAACATTCTCAGGTGACCTGCCTCTCCTCCACAGCAGCAAGCAAGAGCTATTTCTCAAAACAGGAATGCATGTTGGGCATGGTGGCACACGCCTTTAATCCCAGTCCTCAGGAGGCATAGGCAGGTGAATCTCTGAGATTGAGGCCAGCCTGGTCTACAAACTGACTTCTAGACTCTGTCAAAAAACAAAACAAAACAAACAAAAACCCCAACAACAGCTACAAATGCTTTCAAAGAAAATGTTTTCAGCTGCTGCTTCTGACAACCAAAGCAGACATTCTCCAGGCCCAAAGTGCACAGCGTTGATGAGTCTGATGCTCCATGATCAGAAACCCAAATCCACAATGGAGATCAGAGTGCAAGTAACCAAAAAAATACCAGAATTCCTGTCAATTGCTCCTAGTCTGAGTTCTGGTGGAGAGCTTAGTCTGTCCCAGCTACCTGACTTGGGACCCAGAACAAGGCAGACAAACATAGATTCTGCCTTTGTGAAGCTCATGTTCCAGTGGGTTCTTCAGCAATCCACAAACTGGTGTTGGAAGCATGGCTCAGTGGTAGAGCACCTGCCTAGAATCCCCCAGTGTGGAGCTGGGGGTGTAGCTCAGTGGTAGAGCTATTCCCTAGCCCACATGAAGTTCTAGGTTCCAACCCCAGGACTGCAAAAAGGATCCTTAAGTGCCAGCGAGACTGGTAAGGTTCAACTGCCTCATGTCAGTGCTAGGCGTGGTTCCCTTGTACCTTTCTTTCAAAGTAAGGTAGGTACTCATACCCAGCTTCTTAAACTGGCAGCTTGGCTGCATTCTTGAATAAGTAGACCCCACCACGTGTCATGCACCCAGGACATATGCCCACCAGACCACTGCAATCTCTACCATGTCCTCTGTCTCATACCCAGGTGACTGGCTCGATTCTCATATTTGCTACTCACGTGAAGCAAACACGTATCCAAACAAGATGATTTCAGAAGGTGTTAAGTCACACAAAAGAAAAAGAGCTAATGCCACAGATACCACAGGACTGGTGGTAAGGGCTACTTCAGATGGAGTGGTTAAGGAGGAAACTCTTTGGAGTCAAAAAAACAAAAAAGACTGAACGGCATCAACAAGTCTGCCAACAGAAAGGAAAAATGCTTGTAGCACGCAAGAGGGACCAGACCACACCTGGGGCTGCTTGGAGCCTCTGAACAGCTTGGGTCAGTAAAAAAGACAGCAAGAATGTGGTGCCATCATAAAGGATCACAGAAGGAGAGGTTTAAGATTGCATGGTACTATGCAGGACACAATGAGAGTTTGGGCTTTCATTGTAATAGCAGAGGGAGGCCTCCGAAGGGTTGTAATTAGAGAATGATGTGATCTCTCTTCTATTTTCAAAAGATGGCTCTACTATGTACAACAGTTACTTGTGAAGTAACGTTGACAGACATGGAAATAAGACAGATCTGTGCATCTGGATTATGAATCTACATGGTATGCGACAGTGGCTAGAACCAGGATTGTAACAGAAGAGATGGAGGCAGTAGACTTGGCAGGTCACCAGGTTGGAACAGTGGTGGTAGAAGGAGGGGATGATGACAACAAGAAATGAGATCAAGACCAACTAGGATGGATACATTTTGCCTAGGTTCAAGTCTTCCTAGATCCCTGACTTTTTCCCTATATCCTGGATCCAAGTAGCCCTTAAATTCCCATGTCTGAAGCTCTAGTCCCTTGCTGGGTGTGTCCCACTTTGTCCCCACTGTCTATCCTGAGTTCAATGCTCTCTCCTGTTTACTGGATCCCCTGCAGCTCTGAATGAACAAAATGCACTTCAGAGACACATGCATCTGGCTCCTTCCCATCTACCTTCATTTTTGGCAGCAGACCAGCATCACCAGCTAATCCACAGCTAGTACAGAACAGGCACTCCAGTGATGAGCCCATGAGGTCCCCAGCAGAGAAAGGAGCGCCATATTGAGACCACATTTTTTTTCTCTTCAAGACAGTGAGATGAACTGCCTGATCTAAGTCGTAGAAAACTTGGCCTTCCCAAGGACTGTGGTTCTTTCCTATTTGGTTGCAGACCACGTTTGATTCTTATTTTCCCCCAGTAGTTAGTGATACTGAACAGCACTGCTATTCTTTCACGTTCCTTCTCCATTCACGGGAACTTTGTAACATGCTTAACTTCACCTAACTTTTGCAGGGAGGCCAGAGAACATCTTTCCCCTTTTTACAAGTAAGAAAACTAAAGCCTGGGATAAAATCCCTTATTTTGAGACCAGGTCTCTCTCCATAGGGAGCCCAGGAGGACCCAGAACTGACTATGTAGCCGACTGCCCTTGAATTCCTGATCCTCCTGCCTTTGCCTTGCATCACAGGCCCAGGTAGGATTCTACACCCTTGTGAAACAGCCACAGCATTCTCTAGTGTCTCTCAGTAAAATTTTGCCTCTATACTCAAAAACTTCTTTGGGCATCATAGCATGTTGCCACATAGTCAAAAACCTCTCTCACTCTGTCTCTCTCTCTCTCCCTCCTTTTTCCTCCCTCCCTTCCCTCCCACCCCTCTTAGTGCTGGATGAAGATAGATTCCACCTCTCTGGGCTGTGAGAAAACAGCACCTTTTCAGTCTGGGAGGAATTAAGAAGAGAGAAACAAGAGAGAGACAGAGAGAGACAGAGAGCACAAGCCAAGAGCGAGAGCTATGTATGCCAGAATAGTTTCAATGGTAAAAAGAAAATGGGGGGCCACCAGAAGGAAAAAAAGGAGGGGGGTTATCTTTCTGAGGTCTCCACCCTGGGGGTACCTGGGGAAAAAAGTGGCCACCATCAGACCCATCCCAGGCAAGAGTCACTTCTTCAGGGAGCCCAGGCTCTTCAGGGCCTCCTGGGCCTGGTTGAGTTGCTGCTGTAGCCTCTGGCGGGTGCTCTCACTGGAGGCACGCTTCATGAGGCTCTGCATCTCCTCCACCACAGCCCGGTGGCCAGGGGTATTGTGAAAGAGTCGCACTGCACGGTCCCCACAGGAGGCCAGGAAGCGGCCAGTGATGTCAAAAGTCAAGTCAGTGATACACTCCCCATGGACATGTTTGAAACATTCTTCCTTCTCCCCACGCCGTGTGTTGAAGACATGAATACTCGTGCCGCTGGCCAAGGCCAAGACATGAGTGTCAGGGGAGAGTGCCAGGCGGCAGGGCATGGTACTTGCCTCTTCAAAGAGGCCAGTCCTCAGTAAGTAGGGGTCCTGCTGCTTCTTGTATTCTACATCTGTGTCCCACAGCTTCCATGTGCCATCTTTGGAAACAGAAGCCATCCTGCAATGTGGGAAATCACAGTTGGCATCCCAACAACCCCTGGTCAGGGAGGCACTCTGGCAGCCTGAGTGACTGCAGCTAAGACGCCAAGTCTATATCCTGTGGATGGACAGGGCCACCACCACTCAGAACTGTAGACCAGATAGGCAGAAAGGCCCCAGAGCCACTGCTCACACCTATAATCCTAGCACTAGGGCTGAGGCAGAAGGATCGCTGTGTCAAAGCTAGCTTGAGCTACTAAGTGAGATCTTGTTTCAAATAGAAACAAGGGTCAGAGAGATGGCTCAGTGGTTAAGAGCACTGGCTGCTCTTGCAAAGGACCTGAGTTCAATTCCAGCACTCATATGACACCTAACTCCAGTTTTAGGGAAACTGATAACCCTCTTCTGACCTCCGTGGGCACTGCATGACACAGATGCACTTACATACATGCAGGCAATAGACTCATACACACAAAATAAAAGTAAAAACAAGGGGCTGGAGAGATGGCTCAGCAGTTAAGAACACTGGTTGTTCTTGCAGAAGACCCAGGTTAGAATCCCAGCACCCACATGGCAGCTAACAACTGTCCGTAACTCCAGTTCCAGGGGATCCAACAGCCTCTTCTGTCCTCCGTGGGCATTGTACAACATGGGCGCACTTATCTACATGCAGGCTATATACTCATACACATAAAATTAAAAATAAATAAATAAAAGTAAAAGCAAAACAAAAGTCAATAGTGGTGGCACACACCTTTAATCCCAGCACTCAGGAGGCAGAGGAAGGCGGATGATCTGTGATTTTGAGGCCAACCTGGTCTACATAGGAGTTCCAGATCAGCTCAGGCTACAGGGAGACCCTGCCTCAAAAACCAAAACAAACAAAACAACCAAACCAAACATCACCAGGCATTGTAAACACCTGTCGCCCCAACACACAAGAGATAGAGGCAGAAGAATTGGGACTTCAAGGTCCACTTGAGCTACCTATGCAAAATCAGACCTAAGAACCAAAAAAAGAAAAGTCATTCAATCCCATACTCACCTCCGAGCATCACTGGAGAATGCAAAGGAGTGCACAGCTGCAGAGTGACCCTTCAGTTCAAAGGCTCGTGCCACCTCCTGGAACTCTCCCTTCTTCCCAAAGCAGACTTCCCATACCTTCACATCTGGGGTGAAGCCACACGAGCCCACAAACCTGCCGCAAAACCCAGACTCTGAAAACTGAATTTTAAAGGCATCTTGTCCTGCAAGTCCTTGTATTTCTTTCTTGAGAAAAAGGGACCTTCTGGTAGTGCTGGGGATGGAATCCAGGGCCTCATAAATACAAGGCAAGCACCCTACCATTGACAGCTACAGCCTGAAGAACATGTTAAAAGCAATTTTATGGAGCTAGAGAGATGGCTCAGTGGTTAAGAGCACTGGCTGCTCTTGCAGAGGACCCTGGTTCAAATCCCAGCACCCACATGGCAGCTAACAACCATCTGTAACTCCAGTTCCAGGGGATCTGATACCCTCTTCTTATCTCCAAAAACATTGCACAACATGGTACACTTACATACATGTAGGCAATACACTCATATACATAAAATAACAATAATAAATTTTTTTTTTTTTAAGGAGCTTTTGTGCCAGCCATGGAGGCATACCCTTGTAATCCCAGCTACTCTACTCTGGAGGCTGAGGTAGGAGGATCTCAAGTTCAAGGTCTGCCTGGCCTAATACAAAGTTTGAGGGCAGCCTGGATAACTTAACAAAATCTTGCCTCAAAGTCAAAGTTAAAAAAGAAAAAAAAAAAAAGAGGCAGGTATGTTGACACATGTCTATAATCCTAGTACTATGCAGAAATGCAGGAAGATCAAAAGTTCAAGGCCAACCAGGTCAACATAGCTAGTCCATAGCAAGATACTTTGTCTCAAGCAAACAAACATGTTGGGGAACTGAGGACACAGGTCAGTGGTAGAGCGCTTGCCTAACACGTCCTGCGTTCAATCCCTAGTACCACCAAAAAATTTAAAATAATGCTGGATGTGGGCATGATAAATGATGATATAATTCTAGCATTTGGGAAGCTGAGACAGGAAGATTGCTGCATGTCTGAGACTAGTTTGTATCACGATGAGACTGTGTCTGAAAACAACAAATAAGTGCTTTTATAGGGCTAGGAACACAACTCAGTGATAAAGCACTGAAGTAGTGTGCCTGAGGTGCTCCGTTCTATACTCAGTACTGCAGGGGTTAAAAAAAAGGTTATATACATGTCCTTGGTACAATGTTATATCTTGCTTTAAGATCCACAGTATAGAGGGCTGGAGATATAGCTCCATTGGTAAAGTGCTTGCCTAGCATATCCAGAGCCCTGGGTTCCTCACAACCCAACATAGTGGTACATTCTTGTAGTCCCACCACTTAGGAGGTGAAGGCAGGAGGACAAGGGGTTCAAAGTCATCCTCAGCTACATAGTGAGCTAGAGGACAGCCTGGGCTACATTAAAGACCCTATCTCAAAAAACAAAGCAAACAAATGAACCCCATAGATTGGGGGGGGGACACTTGGGATGTTCTCAGTGGTAAAGAACTTGCCTAGCATACACAATGCTATGGTTTCCATCCTCAGCACTGCAAAAATATATAAATAAACCGTAGGTGAAGAACCAGAGACCAAGGATGAGGACTTGTATGAAATCCCATCCCTATGTGGAGCTGGGACTTGTACCCAGTGTCTCCATAGCCTCCTCAAGCTGCCTGTCTGCTGTGCCTACTCCCTCCTTACCGGCTGCACGGGGAGATGGCAGCATAGGTGTTGTTCATCTGGTTGGTGTTGATGGTGGACAACACGTGGCCCTTCAGATTCCAGATGAGGACAGTTGTGTCACTGGAGGCTGTCATGATGAACTTCCCTGAGGGGAAGGGGAGCATGTGAGCCTTGGGAACATGTAAGCCCTGGGCTATGACCTGGCAAACTATCATTTCCCAAAGAGACAGGGAGGTGGTAAGGACAGGAAGTATCCCTGCTCCTCTCCCGGGTCAAAGGTCACCACAGATAAGGATTGTGCTGAGTATGGCTATCAGGATTTCAGGAAAGAAGAGCCAGAGTTCCTTGTACACACAGATACCAAGCAAAACCAGTTTACTCAACAAATACAATTCAGGGGCTTGGTGAGGTGGCTCAGTGGGTAAAGGTGCTTGCTGCCAAGCCTAATGACCTTAGCTCCCAGGGACCCACAGGGTGGAAGGAGAACTGACTCCCGCAGGTTGTCCTCTGACCCCCCCCCTCTCTCACACACACACACACACATTAAAAAACAAACCAAATAAAACTGGGGCCACTTTTTCATGCCCTAGGCATGTTCTACCCCCCAGATGGTCCCTACCTGTATCAGCAATGCCAATGTTGATGACAGGTGCCTTGTGCTTTTTAGGGAAGTCCTCTGGGGTGGCTGTGAAAGTGAAGCCCCCATCTTCACGCTTGGTCATCTTGAAGACACGGAGGGTGTCTCCACTGGCCAGCCATACAATGAAGGCTCTAGACAGGCAACGGACAAACCAATTTCCTCATGTCAACAAGGCCCTACGTGCTCTAGATCCTATGGAGAATCAAGATTGTCCCCTATGCCCTACAGTATAGCCTTACAATGGCAGATCCCATGGTTCAAAATCTAAAAACTATTCAAGGAGGCCAGAGAGAGTAGTGGCAAATGCCTTTAATCCCAGCACTCTCAGGTAGGTGGATCTCTGCAAGATCAAGGCAAGCTTTGTCTACATAGTGAGTTCCAGGCCAGCCTGGTCTATATAATAAGTTCCAGGCCAGCCAGGGGTATATAATGAGACCCTGTGTCAAAAAATAAAAAAAATATTCAAGGTTAAAGGTGCTCACCACCAAGGCCGATGACCTGAATTTAATACTCAGGAACTCACATAGTGGAAGGAGAGAATCAACTCTCAAAAGTAGTCCTCTAACCTCCACATGCAAGTTATGTCACATGCCCTGCAAAGAAAAAGTAAAAATGGAAAAAAAGGAAACTATTCAAGGCCAGAGCTGTAACTCAGTGTGAGGCCCTGGGTTTGATGCCTGGCACTAGGCCCTCCCCAAGGTTATATGAGTTCTGAAGAACTGCTGGGAAGACAAGACTACCTTCAGAGGAGCTTTGAGTCCTGTATGGAGCTCTAAGAAAACAGCTTTCATGAGCCTTTACCCATGCTGGGGTGGGCTTTTTCATGCCTTGTCTCCAAAGTCAACCATGCTCTTGTAAGTAACCCCAATAAACTCAACGGTTCAGGAAGCTTGACTTGGGTGCAACTGCTTTTTAGTCTAAGGTTGGTACCCTGTGTAGAGTAAATAGACATTTGTTCACATTTCCCCAAGAAAAATCACAGAAGGCCATACTTGTATCCCAACACTGGGGAGACTGAAGCAGTAAGATGACAAGTTCAAGGTCAGCAGTTACATTACATAGCCAGGCCCTGTCTCCTGTCTCAAAACAACCAAAACACGGGGCTGGAGAGATGGCTCAACATTTAAGAGCAATGACTGTTCTTGGAGAGGACCTGGGTTCAATTCCTAGCATCCACATAGCAGCTAACAACTGTAACTCCAGTTCCAGGGGATCCAATGCCCTCTTTTGACCTCTGCGGGCATTGCAAGACATGGGTGCACTTACATGCATGCAGGCAATACACTCATACACATAAAATATATATAACAATCAAAACACAACCAGGCATGGTGGCGTACACCTTTGATCCCAGCACTCTCAGGAGGCAGAGGCAGAGGCCAGCCTGGTCTACATAGTGAGTTCCAGGTGGGGCTGCAGAGAGAGCCTGTCTCAAAAATATACAAAAAACAATCAAAACACAAAAAGCCAAAACCAAGAGAAATGAGAGATGTAGCTCAGGAGCAAGTGTGATGCCGAGTTCAATTCCAATACTATGAGAGAGAGAGAGAGAGAGAGAGAAAGGGAGAGGGAAAGGGGGGAGAGAGAGGGAGAGAGAGGGAGAGAGGGAGAGGGACAGAGAGAGAGAGAGAGAGAGAAAGGGAGAGGGAAAGGGGGGAGAGAGAGGGAGAGAGAGGGAGAGAGGGACAGAGAGAGAGAGACAGAGAGAGAGACAGAGAGAGAGAGAGAGAGAAAGAGAGAGGGAAAGGGGGGGAGAGAGAGGGAGAGAGAGGGAGAGAGAGAGGGAGAGAGGGAGAGGGAGAGAGAGAGAGAGAGAGAGAGAG